TTTATTATTATTACTGCTATTGTTATTATTACTATTATTACTGCTGTTTTTATCATTGCCATTATTATTACTACTATTATTATTGCTATTATTGCTGCTACTGTTACTGCTATTGTATTGTTATTATTGCTTTTATTGTTGTTAATTATTATTTTTAATTATTATGTGTCGACAATCTTTCATTTTTGAAAAATTTTGACTAGGAAACAGACTGAAGCTGAAACCATTTTTTTTTTTAAATCTCATAAACTGCCGCCTGATGCGTTTCCAATTTTTGTAAATCCCATTCTGCTCTGCCAAATTCGTGATTTTATGTGTAAGACTGCTATATTTAAATTATGGCATGTAAGTAAGAAAACATTTGGGAACTATGATAAGCGTCTAGAGATAAAAGTTAGGGCAATAATTCACAGGTTTTTTTAAAGGAAAACTGTTATGTTACACTCGAAAGGCGATCTGCAGGAAGCGATCAACGTGGCGCGACAAAATGTGGCAAAAGTGAAGAATTCCAAAGATCTGCGATTGAAAATTCGGTAAGTAATCACATCTCTATCTAAAGTATTATTTTTTAGAAATTTTTGAGACCCGTTCTGGGGTCAAACCCGGTCATCGATTTACTTCTTATCATATCATTGGAAGCAATAAATTACAGTAAATTACTGAAATGAATGCTTTTTGTGCAGGAAATTCGTTTCTTTTGGTTTATTTCGAACTTCAGGAAGGGTTTTTTTCCAGTTGTGACATTGCACTAGCGATGCTTTATGTCGAGAATAGCCTGGAACATGTTGCTGCATCAATGTTGCGAGAATGTCAAACAGCTGCCCAGATTCATAGCCTTGAAAATATCGATGCAATGATAAACAGGCGTCTTGCTTACATCGATGTGAGTTTTTGCTCCATCGTGGAAGGAATTGAGAATTTCATGCTTATGGAATAGGATGAGTGAATTTGATCGAAATTTTTGGTAGCTCGCTAAAAAATTGCCTTTTCTTTTCAGTTATGTGGTGGCAAAATCCGTTATCCCTTACACCTTTGTCAAAATTCTGTACAGTTTTCTTCTTTTTATCTGCTTATTTAAAATATTCAAGTGACCCTCATCATATCAAAATTTCCCATCATATTCCACTGACTAATTCCACCCCCTCCCCCTCCCCCTCCCGACATTAAAATTTTAGAGCTTTCGGCTATTCCATCACTTCCATGGCTTGAACTGGCTGTTTCAGAATGTTTGGTTTGGCCTACCAACGGCCAAAAAAATTTTTGTCAATCTAACTCAGTTCGTCCGCCTCATTTGGACTGTCCATTTTTCATTCGTCCATCTAATGGCCCCTATAGTAAATTCCATTAGGCTCGGCTGCTCCATCTTTTCGACAGCTCGGACTGGCCGTTGTTTCAGAACGTTTGGTTTGGCCTACTAGTGGCCAAAAAAGATTTTATCAATTTAACCCAGTTCGGCCGCCTCATTTGGGCCTCCCCATTTTTCATTCGGCTATCTAATGGCCTTTACATTACATCCCATTGCGGCCTGGAATGTTATAAGAGTTTCTGTATTTTTGAGCTTCTGTTTTTTTAAAAAAGGAGGAATGATATAAGAGCTTCAGCGGAGTTAAGCAAAATAACAGTATCCAAGCTGTCTATGTTTCATTCTTTGATAAAAAATCTTCGAAATTCCGCACACGAAAATGTAGGGGAGCCGTGAGAATGGGTTTCGTACTCAGCACAGAACTCAGCCTCATTCGTCTGGTCATCATGGGAGCATGAATTTGGATGCTGAGGAGTTTTTTTTTTTTGCTTTTGAATCTACGCTGAGAAGGAGTACGCCGATTTGCTACGGGTAAAACTAAGAGGAAGATGTTTATGAGGTTTATTTCGCACTGTCTTTTAAATTTGACTGTGCTAGTATTTCTCCGTTCTTTATCCGCATCCTCCGCTCTCTTCTTCCCTCTCTCCTCCTTCCCTCCCTTTCGCTTTTCCCCTCTCCCTCCGCCCACCGAGATAAATCGTTCTATCATTTTTCCAACTTACACTGTGTTCGCGCTTCGCAGTATCGAAAACGGAGTGTGTGCGTGTCTTGTTAATTGTTTTCGCGCTACATCGTACCGGGGACAAAGCTTATGTTTTATCAATTTCTTGGAGAAGATGGTTCGTGAGTTCATCTTATGATAGCGTTCTGCAGTTGTTATGGATGCATAACGAAATAATCCACTCCTTTGTTCGTTTTATGAGGGTATTTTTGGCTACCGGAAAATTTTCGCAGCTTCCAACTTTCTACATCGGGAACGGCACAAGTTTTGCTTGTCCAAGGCTCGTAAAAGCGAGGAGAGTAGACGGTGTTTTCGTACTTCGTTCTGTGTTTTTTTTTTTAGGTAGTAGAAGGACGTATTGGAGATGCGTTGGTAAAAATCAAGGAATGCGAATGGATTGTGACGATACGTTGCCCACCGCTTGAGAAAGCACTGTTCTACATGACAATGTTCGCAGCATGCAAGAAGCAGGAATACTCATCACCAGGTTTAAAAACATAGAACTTTGTAGATCTGTTTTTTTTTTTTGAGGAACCGTAGGCAAACAGGAGAAGAAAAGGACTGGAAAAGTCGAAAAAAGAAGCATACTGTTCAGATCGAAAGAACAGAAACACAGTAAGGGTAAACGAGTCGAAATTTTCGAGTCGTTATTCACTGAAGACACATGACAGATACTCAGTTTTACCGCAGAGTTCCTGCACGCAGACATGACAAATACTCAGTTTTATCGCTAAATCGAAAATGAATGCCGTTTGCAGATTTCACAATCCTCTTCCAACTTCCAAATGTTGCAGCAAGCATTCATCGGAAAAACAACCAGAGTTTGTTAAAAAAAATAATGTTGTGAAGCTGTTCGTTGCAGATGATGCAATTCGCGAGCAACTCAAGGCTTTGTCAGCTGCGCGTCGTGAGTTCCATCACGCTGGCGTTCCTCTTCTGGAAAAAGCAGCGATTGCGGAAGCAGCAAAACTCTACAATAGCTACAATCGAATTACGGAACGGGACGAATGCGCCACGTTATTCTGTGAAATTCAAGCAAGATTCCCAGGACAGATTAGCTGGCCTATTCTCTGATCTCCAGGCTGTTTTATGATCTCTGTGAAAGTTGCGCAGGCCTGATCAACTGTTGTTTTCAGTGTTGTTTTCGAATGTTGTTACTTGTATTCAGTTCACTTGTTAAAGATGGTTTTTCTGAGTTAACTTGCAGTACACCGCAACGTTTTATTTTGAAAGAAACGCAAACTTTTTTGGATGCATTGCTGTGGAGTAATTTGGCGCCTTTCTTATGATCAAAATGGGAAGATGTGCAGAAACGAACAAAACATATTTAGTATATTTAGGTCTAGTAATACAGCAATAGTTCGATTACCCGATTGTGCAGGAGAAGGAACAGACGATTCGTTCAAGACAGGATGTGACCGGGAACGGAGTATGCAATCGTTGGGAGGCAGCAGAAGAGCGGTCGAGACTTCGTGGTGAAGCAGGCCGATGGCCGAGACGACGTTAACTAGAGGCAGCCGAGAAGCGGTCGAGCAGTAGAATACGAAGAACAGGAATAGAGGCAAGATACAGGGCTTTTATAGGGTGTAAAAACACCTTATCGTCTTCCAGCGATCAGGAGTCAGGAATGTAAAAGGTGTTAAAAGTATCATGAAAAAAAAAAACGGGACTTTGGAAATATCGTCAGTTTTACAGTTGACGAAATAGACAATATTTTACATTAAAAAATGCATAAAGTACATCTGATATAAAAAACACACATTGTATGATTCATACAAACAACAGAAATAATTGGC